CGGAGGCCGCCGGAGGAGGCAGCCGCTGCTGCGAGGATTATCCGTCTTCTCCCCATTCCGCTGCCTCGGCTGCCAGGCCTCTGGCTGCTGAGGAGAAGCAGGCCCAGTCGCTGCAACCATCCAGCAGCCGCCGCAGCAGCCATTACCCGGCTGCGGTCCAGGGCCAAGCGGTAGCAGAGCGAGGGGCATCAGCGACCGCCAAGTCCAGAGCCATTTCCATCCTGCAGAAGAAGCCTCGCCACCAGCAGCTTCTGCCATCTCTCTCCTCCTTTTTCTTCAGCCACAGGCTCCCAGACATGACAGCCATCATCAAAGAGATCGTTAGCAGAAACAAAAGGAGATATCAAGAGGATGGATTCGACTTAGACTTGACCTGTATCCATTTCTGCGGCTGTTCCTCTTTGCTTTTCTGTCACTCTGATAACGTGGGAGTAGACGGATGCGAAAAATTTCTGTAGTTGGGGTGACTATAACGTTTAATACTGGTCACATTTCTAGATCGTCAATTTTGTGTGTCTCTCCCGGTGTATTCAACCTAGGGAGTGTTCAGCTAGACGGAACTCATGCCTGCTTGCAAGTGTCAAGGCACGGATTGGTTTCTTGTCTAGCTCTGTGGTCTCTTCCTAAAATCTATTGTCCGTGAATGCAGAGTTTTGTACATTGGATTAACGAGCTCGTTAATCCAAGCCTTCTAAATGAACCAAATTAGACGCTGGTGAGGTTGTGCTTATTTCTATTAGATCGTGACTTAGGCCCTAGATCTAGGGTGTAGATCAGATTAAAATGAAAGTCCGTGCTGCACGAAGGCATATTACCTCAGAATCTTGCAGTGATTGTTAGTTTCCTGGGTTGCGTTGATAGATTTTTCTAAAATGTAACTTGTGGACTGATTTGCATAACTTTATAAGCATAGTCATCCTCAGAGTAGATGGTGCACTTTTGAGGGTAAAAGTAGGTTTTGTGTGTTTAAACTGGGGTAATTACTTACCACTTTGGAACTACATGTAGAAGTTCTGTAGTTTGAGATCAACAGTGCCAGAATTTGCGTTATTGGAGCTTTTAATAGAACTTTGTTAAATTAGACTTTGTACGTGGGATGAGGCATGAGCTTTGCATTTCAGCGGTATTTTACATTCATTTGGCTTTGCCATACATGATGGGATAGAAATTGAATAGTTTTTGGTCCCAGGTGATGTCCGTGTGAGTTCAAGGATATTGTGTGTGGCGAATGGTTGCAGAGGTTAAACCTCAGCTCTCACATGAAATTTAACTATTATCGTGAACAGGAATTTGCTGCTCAAAATTTTTGTGTTTCAGGTGCTCTGACCCGTTGACTGCCCATGGGTTTTACCCTGATTTGTATAGAATGTCAAGTATAATTTAACCAGCTAATGCCCAGAAATACTAGCAAGAGTGGATCACTGACTTCAGATTGTAGGTATGGTAGCTTTTTAAATGCAGTAATTTCCTGAGTCAGCTTGTTGAATAAGACAGAAACCCAAGAATTTTTAACGGTGTATAGTTCTGATTGTCTAAAAGTTAGGTCTTTGTACTTCAAAAGTTCGTGGTTATCTTAAAGCATTTATCTTTGCAGTTTCAGGTATGGTATTGGTTTTGATCAGGGATAGGAAGAGAGCCCTCCTTTTTTGGAGGAAGTATTGACAGATATTGAGAGCTTTTGGGAGGCCGGTGTGTGAAGAAAACACAAGTTGCTGCTCTGAAGTGACAGGGCTTTTGTTACGACCCCAAATTATTTTTTCATGTGACTTGTAGCAATGAGCAGAATTTAGTTAAAATTATGTAATTGCATAATTGTTAATAAGATAGTCTTAGTAAAAGTTAATTATTAGTAAATACCAGCAGACATTTCTTAAGGTAGAAGGTCAGAGACTTGTCTATACATGTCCTGATAATAATAAGAGCATTATGGAGAGGCTTTTTTTTTTTTTGTAAGAAAATGTTTTCATTTGGAAGAGGTTTGGTTTTTTTTTTTTTTTTTTGATTGCATTAGCAGCATATAAACATGCATAGCTAATTTTGACCGAGTTTTTGTTCTGAAATGAAGATGAAACTCACTGAAGAACTGGCTTTAGAAGTAGGCTAATTTTCTGTTAAGAAAATCTTTAATCTGTTAAGGTATCTTTAATTTTGAAGTTTGCATTAATTTTCAGTTTATATTTCAAAACTTTACTCTGGATGAACTTGACCTTTTCTGAAATGTAATTGTAGAAAATTCTGGGTTATCACTTGCTTCAAGGCAGTTGGTATAAATTAGTGATAGTAATCTAGATATAGAAGGAATTAGTCCGGTATCTGTTTAATTAAAAAAAATAGGCCCTCATTCAAAGAAAAATCTGAATGCCTGGTAGTCAGGCTTCTCTTACCTTCCACAGTACCCTTATGTTTTGCTGTTCCCACTTGATTTAAAATTATCAGGTGTGTCGGACTTCAAGATTGTTTTGCCAAATTTTTATGTGTGAGCAGTGACATGATTGCAGTTCCTTATTTGATTGCATAGTACATGGGCTTCTGCACGTGCCATTTCTGTGAGTTAGAGCTCTGAAACTGTACTTTTAGTATAATGTGCATAGAAAGCAGTATCAAATATTGCATCAAATGACTAATAACACTTAATTTCTAGAGCTGTGGTTTTATTGAGCCAAATGTTGAGTCTATAGGGAGAAAGTCGGTGAAGCCGTTGCTCTTCTGAGAGTTGTCCTCCCAATGATTTTGATAAGCCAGAGGGGCTTGCTTGATTCCTCATCAGTGTGTTCTGTGTTTGGGGGCAGGAGTTAAAATGCTCATTGAAGACTTGAACTGGTCAGTGTTGGCACCGAAGCTGGCCAAGTTAAGTTCCTTTCTGAAACTAGTAAATGGGATATTTCTATTCGCTGTAGAAGGGTCAGCAATCAGCAATGATGTACTTTCTCAGGAAAGCTGTGTTTTCAAATCCTCTGCAAAATTGAATTGTTGTAAGAATTTGTTGGTTGGATTTGATTCTGAGCAGTCTAGAAAATAGGCTGAATGTGAGATTGCAAGATTTCATGTGTTTAAAGCACATGCAGAGCTCAGGCTTCTGTTACAGGCCTTTGTTTGCTAGATTAGGAACCCTTTCAGATACTGATCACGGGAATATTAGTACCTTGAAGTGATTATTAATGTTTGTTGTTTTGTTAAAGGCGAGTGATTGTTTAAAGTAATTCTAGTTTTTATTTTTTAATTCTACAATCTTTATCTTACATTTTCATAGTCATTTGTTTCTTTCCTGAAAAACATGACTATGTAACCGATGTATAAGAAGTTGCAAATTTTATTTTCCCTAAAACTTAGGGGTAAAATGAGTCAAAACTAGTAATTTTTAGTTAAATATAATTCAATAGAAGGAAAAGAAATTTCATTACTATCAATTGTAAAAGTTGACACAGTATAGTGTTGCAGACTTAGATTGCTTTTAAATTATTGCTTTTAAAAAATTGAGTAAAGATTAAATCAAGTTAAATATGACATATAACCATGTTGATTTTTTACTTAGTTTTAGAAAGTGGAGATTCATTGCCTTTAAAATTTTCATTTTAGTAGTGAGAGAAAGGCGAGTAGTGTATTGTGTGGAACATTATGTCTAATTTCTCGTAATTAAATAAAATGTATACCTAAGTATTATGAACTAGCTTACCTTCTAGAAATGAACTCAGTTGTTACTTTGAAATGTTACAACTTGAAATTTGTCTTTGTTTGCTGTGCCTAACAGTATTTAACACTTTTAAAGACACTTCTAAAACAGTCTGTTTGATGACTTGATTAGAAAATTGTTCATGTAGGAAAAAAACAAGGTTTGAACATTCATTTTCAGTAAATACTCAGTTTTCAATTTTATTTTGTGTCAGTTTTTTTAGTAAGCACAAAATATAGACAGTGTTTTTATATTGATAATGTATGTGAATTCGGAGTTGGTAAAGATAAATCTAGAAGCCTGTGTACATAGGACAGTTTTTGACTTCCATGAAATGTTAGAAGTATTTAGTTTCAGAAGACAGTACTAGTTACTAATACACTTTAAGGAATTTATTGGATAGTGGTTTTTTTTGTTTTGTTTTTTCTTTTTCCGTGGAAACTACTGGCTCGTAAAACAGAAGTTTTCCTGCATAGAGCTGATGACTCTTGAGTTTTGTCCCCTCCCCGCCCCCTTTTCACCCAGTAGATAAACTTGATTTGCAGAACAAACATTGGAGAATTGATTTTGTGATCTACGTTTAAGAAAAGTTACAAGGATTTGTGCTAAAAAAAAATCACGATTTAGAACATTGGGTATGATTATATCAGAAATGATTTCTGTAAATATTCAGTATTTTTTGTAGTTGCTTTGTATCTGGTAGTTTTGAAATTGATACAGTTGCTATTGGAGATATCACCAATACTGAGTATAGGTGAAATAGCATTTACATATCCTTTTTTATAGGCCGTTCTACAGTCACATAACTTTCCTGGTTGAGTGTTTAAAGGTGTTTTGTTATGGGAATAATTTACTGGATCTCTCAGTATTGAATGTATTGGAAAATATGAAATTAGGATATTGGTTTTGTTGCTCCTCCTTCTAATTTTGTATTCTCTTCCTTGGTTGCAGAAGGGGTATTAGCAGTTTCATCTTTTAAAATAATTTGTACTGGAACAAGAAGGTGTTTCTTAGAGAAATGTTATTATCAGCATAAACGTGATTTAGAAATGAATTGAATTTGGCTGGGAGTTTTCGGTTTTGTTCAGAATAGCACACTCTTCCATTGGCAACAGTTGGCATTAGGACATTTGTGGATGTCTTCACAGTATTTAGACTTATACTTGTTGGTAGTGTTGAAATTTTGTAGAGATGAATATTGCAGTTGAATCTGCTAGCAAAAGAATGTTCTTGACCTGTATGTGTATGGTATGGAAAAGCTGTAAATGTACTGTGTTTTGTGTAATTAGTCAAATAGTTATAATCAGAAGCCAACACTTTAAATATGAACAGTGACTCTTAACTTATATTTCAATTTTCTGTGTGTGTGTATGTGAGTATAAAGTTAACAAATTCTTACTGTTCTAGAAAATGGATTTTCTCCTTAAAGAACAGACTGCTTTGGAGGTCATTTTAAAACATGATTGAGTCTTTTAAATTACATTAAAATGTGGCTGGTTTTGTCCACATTCTGAAGTTATACATTGTTTCATCTTAGTTTTAGGCAGACAGAGTGGCCTGGGGCCAGCTGCATGTGGTATAATCTTGGCTCTGTCACTTAGTAGCTGGATGACTTTGTGCTATTTAATTTTTCTCAGTCTTATTTTACCTGAAATAAGGGAAGGATAATAGTACCTTATCAAGTTTATCTTGATTAAATGGTGGAAATAACTGGACCTAGTGACTAATTCTAGCATGGCAGAGGCAGGAGGATTTTGGTAAGTTCTAGTGCTGCTGGACTGACTGCATAGTGAGTCTGAGGCCATCCTGTTGTACACAGTGAGCTCCAAGCCAGCCAAGGTTCCATAGTGAGACTCTGAAAAAACAACAGATATCATAAATAAATAGTACCCTTACTGTGGTATCTACCTCATTGTAAATACTTCAGTCAGAGGTACTACTCTTAACAATTTCTGATATGTCAGAGATTTTTGTATTTTCATTTATGGGATGAGCAGTGTTTATGAATTTGCTCAGTTGAGACCTTGCAATTTTAATTGACTCAAGATATGACTTTTTTTTTTTAATAGGGGGAATTCCTTTAGGAATTTAATTTTGCTATTCACTCATAGAGTTGCTCAAAACCAAGTTAATCATGCATATCAGAAAATGTTTGCTTTCAGCTTTTAAGGGGAAGGTGAAAACTTTCTTGTAGTTTAGCATAATCTGTTTAATCTGTTTAAGATTAAATTTTCCCATAGTACTCTATAGATTTAAATATGTAACATATTTATAGCATAATGTATGTTTATATAATATATATATATATATGGCATCTATAATCTATGATGCAGATGTGATATGTTTGCTCTTTTGAGTCAGGTTGTCTTGGCTAGTATCCTAGTTATTTTTCACAAAGAATAATCCTCACCACTAATAAATGAATTCTAACGTATAGCTCAGAGTTATGTAAACTCTATCAGCATGTCCTTTCAGGTTCAGGTTTTTGTGGTAGTCATGCAGCTCTGACAATTTACATCCATTATAACAGACACATATATAATATAATCTGCAGTGAATTAGTATAAGTTAAAGTTATTGTCTGAATTTTCATGTTTGGGCAAGATTTTCCATATAACTAGGACTTTGAAATAGAAAAAGCTAAAGGGACTCCCCCCCCTTTTTAAAAATTACATTCATTTATTTGGGAGAGGGAGGAACAAAATGGGGCATGTATGTACCAGGGTATAAATGTGGAGGTCAGAGGACAGCTTAGCTAGTTGGTTCTC